AACTTACGAACCGTGAGATCATGACCTGAGCCGAAGTCGGATGCTGAACCGACTGAGCCCCCCAGGCGCCCCTAAGTGCAGTGAACTGGAATGAAAGCTGGTTGAACATGCAGTTGAATGAACGGAACACACAGCGGGACAGCAAACCGTGGCCAGCGTGTGTGTGTGTGTGTGTGACTCAGAGGAAGCGGTAGGGACTTCGCTGTCAAATAAATGCACGTGCTCAGAGCACACTGACACGGTGGGCGCAGGGTGGGCGCCCCTTACCTGCACTTCTAACAGGCGCTCCAGGTGATTCTGCCCTGTGGTCCATGAGCCACTTTCCGAGAAACACTGAGCTCGTGGCTGAGCCTGCCCTGGGAGGAGGTTTCTGTGAAGTCTTCCCTAGATCTTTGCTCTTTAAGGAGAAAAGAAAACACATAAGTGCGTGCCCATGTGCATTCATCTCCTGCCACCCCCCCCCACAGGTAGTGTTTGTTCTGGGTGAGATCTCGGAGGCTGCACAGTGAACCCCCAGTGGCTCAGGTCGGACGAAGTCCGGCACATGACGTCGGCGAGATGTGAGATGATGTGTCCCGGCTGGAATGTTGGATCAAAACCAACTAGATGCGGTTTCACAAGGACAGATTGAAAGTTCTGCTTTTGCTTAAAACAAAACGAAAATCAGAGCGGCGCTACAGGCAGGAGGGGAGAGCAGGCTTGATCTGGTGGGGGGGGTCGTAGGCGGTGGGGAGAGGGGGGGCTGCCGGGGCTTAGCCCCCCGGGTGCTCGGAAGCAAGCGGACACCTGGCCGTGGGTGCCTCACCCACAGGCCGTGGTTAGGAGCGCCGGTGACCGGTTGGAGGGGTTGAACCTGGTGGACGGTGATGATGTGGGCCGGGGTCTGGAGGGCACGTGTCTGACCTGGAGAGCAGGAGGGAAGAGGTGACACGACACGGAGCCACATTCTGATGCCCAAGGGGCGTCTTGCAGAATTGGAGGCTTTTTCTGGGCCGCCTCCCAGGACAGTCGAGAACCAGCCGGTGCGCGGTGTGAGGATGTGGGCTGCAGCTCCATGTCAGAAGGAACTTTCTACCAGCTGGAAGGTTTCAGTATGGCAGGCGGCCCCATGGGTGCTGTGGGGAAGCAGGGGGAAAGGGTAGAGGATGGTGGGAGGGAGGCCCAGCTCCTGGAGGTTTCAGGAGAGACCTCAGGAGTCCCCCAAGCCTCCCTATGACAGTCACCTGGGGAGCAGCAGAATCCCTAGGGCCAGGCCAGCAACCTTCCCCGCTTTGGAGCTGCTGGATTGAAGACAGCAGTAGTATTCTCTGCCTAAGGGAAATGTACTGTAGAGCTGGTCAGCCAGGCCAGGGACAAGGTGGCCGTGAACCTTCACCCCCATCTCCCTCACCTGCCGGAACTCCCTCCCCTCCCTCCCTGGGGAGGAAAGAGCTCCTTACTCAAAAACCTGCTTTCCACGGCTGTTCACAGCAGCTGTGTTCGTAATCGCCAAAACTTGGATGCAGCCAAGGTACCCTCGCGTAGGTGAATGGGTAAATCCAGACACTGGACTGTCACTCAGCACTAAAAAGAAATGAGCTATCAAGCCATGAAAAGACGTGGAGAAACCTTAAATGCATAGCACTGTGTGAAAGGAGCCAGTCTGAAGCGGATGCAGACTGTTTGATTCCAACCATATGACATTCCGGGAAAGGCAAAGCTGTGGAGACAGTGAAAAGATCAGGGTGGCCGGGGAGGGAGGACGGGATAGGGGGAGCACAGATTTTTAGGGCAGCAAAACCGGTCCGTAGGATACCGTCATGGTGGGTATGTTTGTCCAAACCCACAGAATGTTCCAGACCCAGAGTGGTCCCTAGGGTAAGCTGTGGATGCTGGGTGATAATGACGTGTCCGTGCAGGTGTTCTCAATGGCACGGGGGATGTGGGAAATCTCTGTACCTCTGCTCGACTTTGCTGTGACTCGAAAACCGCTCTAAAAAATACTGTGCTTGAAAAAACAAAACAAAAAACTTTCTCTTCTGGGTGTCACCTCTGACTCTGTTTGGGGTCTCGCCTATAGTGCCGCGGTGGGCGTCGGTTTCTATGGAAACAGCGAGACCAATGACGGGGTGTACCAGCTGATCTACTCCCTGGACAACGCGAACCACACCTTCTCGGGGATAGATGCACTGGTAAGGCTCACGGGCAGCACTGGCCGGGCCGGGCGCAGCCCGTGAGGTCAGCGTGCTCAGAACAAGGGCCCCAGTCACGGCCCGGCCAGCTTGGCTCGGGGGTCGGGAGGGGGGGTGGAGCGGACACCCCTTGGGGCTGCATTTGGTTCTGCTGGGAGTAAACAGGCAATTTCTGCTCTTCGGGCAGGGAGGGGTGGTGAGGACAAAAGGAGAAAGGCTGACCGGGTCCTGGGAGGACACGGAGATGGCCGTGGACTCCAATCCTCTCCACTTCCGGAGGGCTGACCACTTCCCCGTTTGTCCAAGGGGAGCCTGAACGTGGACAATTAGCCCCGTGGTGTTTGATGTTCAGTTCAAATGCTCCATACGGGGCACCGCGAGGTCCAGAAGATGTCAAGGTGTGAAACGCTTCAAAACCAAGTGAAGCACCCCGAGGGGTGGGAAGACGAGGTGTCCTCCGGGCTCTGGCATCCAGCTGGGGCTCAGGGTGGAGGATGGGGTGGGCTGCCAGAGGAGGGGTCGGAATTTTAGGGCCACAACCACTCTGCTGGGCCCCTGGCCTGAGTGAGAGGCCGAGCCACGGGATCAGGGTTTTCTCAAACACTGGCCTTGGCCCCCTGGCCTCCAAGTGCTTGTCACCTCTGCTGTAAACAGCAGGCAGGTGTTTGGGCCGGTTTCCAGGGAGTCCCCGTGCCCCTAGGAGCCAGGCTCCGGTAGAAAACCAAAGGACAGTTTTCAGGGAAGCCAGTCCCTGGACATCCCCACTGCTCCCAGTCCCCTCTGGACCATGTCCCCTGCAGAGGGGTGACCTCAGCCAACAGCCAGGTCGTGTCTTTGGGCAGCCTCAGCCACAAAGTCCAGCCCCAGCCAGAGCATTTGGACACTGCCCTGGGACCCAATTCTGGAAGAGGGTTCGACCTCATTGCCCGCTCCTTCTCCCTAAGCTCCTCTAAGACCTTAATCCCTCCGCAGCCCTTGGCAGGGGGTGGGTGGTGCCCCTTAAAGAGACAGCGCCCAGGAAGGCTGCTGGCGTGGCTCTGGCCTCAGAGAGAGCCCTTCTGGGGAGCTGAGGGTCACACGCCAGACCAGGACCCACCTGTCCTGCAGCGCCTGTCCATCTACCCTTTGCATCCACCAGAACCCATCCCTGGAAGACTGCATCGTCCAGACATGGGGCAGAGGCAGCTCTGTGGGGCGAGGGTGGGCAGCTGGGATGTGGGGCTGAGGGCAGCCTTGAGGCCGCACACAGCCTGGCCGGCCGAGAGGCATGGAGGGGTCCTCACTTTCTGGGCCCCCCACCCCACCTTTACCCTAGCGGGGAAGGGCCTCCGTGGTTACTGCCTCTAGGCTCTGCCTCCCCCTCTCTCTCCACCCACAGCACCAGTTCCCCCTAGAGGAAGAACCCAGCCCCAGAAGGAGAGTCCCTTGCCCGGGGAAGCCCCAGAGACATGACCTGCACTAGTTGACCAGTGCCCATCATAAGGAATGGCCCCTGTCTCCCCCCGCCGGGGACTGAGATCGAGAATGCCAGGGCCATCCTGATGGGAAAGGCTGAGTTCTTCCTGTCCCGTAGATGAGAATATACACACAAAAGGAGCTGGGAACAAACCCCTAGGCTGGCCCATCTGCCCCAAGGGCTGAGTCTCCAGGCCAGATTTGGACATTCCACAGCGAGCCCCACGTCTCCAAACTCCCCCATGTTCCCAAAGGGAAGGGTTCTGTGTGTCCCTGGACGTCAGGCCCTCTTCTATGCACCATGTCTAAAAGTTGAGGTCAGGAGCCTCAGGGTTTTGTGATGGTCCAGCCAGCTGGGAGCTGCCTCTATCCTGCCCAGGACCACCTCCTGCCTCCTCTGGGTGAGCCCACGGGGGGCCCTGGTGGAAAGGCAGGGCTCTGGGCCCTTGCCAGGTCCTGTGAGGCTGGTTTGGGCCTCGGGGTAGGCACCCCACATACTGGGTCCCAAGGGTTGCAAGGGAAGCAGCAGCTTTTGGAGGGCTCCCCAGATCCAAGGGATGAAGGCCTACATCAGGGAAATGGTGTTCAATGCGATACTGTTGATGAAAGTGTCCGGTAATCTACAAAGTCCCCCCAGATGAGGTGACTATGATAATGAGTGCCATTATTATAATTACTGTAATTATATATGTTCCTGTAATCACTGTGAAGGAGAGAGGAGGCTTGGGTGAGTGGGAGTGGGGAGGGCAGGACTCCGAGGACAGGTCAGGCAGCCAGAACCGGGCCAGAGCAAGATGAGCCCTTCAGGGCTTTCCTGGATCGGAAGTCCCTCCCCTGCACCCTTCCACTCTGAGGACCCCAGTGGGTGGGGGCCGCAGCTCAAGGCTCAGGCAGGCCTGGCAGGGTTCTGGGTCAGCCGCACATTTTGATTTGGGGGGTGGTCAGAAAGGGTCATTTGCGAGTGCTGGTCGGGGGGTTTCTCTCTCTCGTCCAGTGCCCCTCATCTACCTCCTCTCCTCCAGTGAAGGGAGCCTGAGCTCCAGCGACTCACCCAGGGGACCAGGCACACCTCTGACCCCTCAGGGTCTCAGCTTAAAATAAGGGCCCCATGAGCTTGGCCGATTCAGACTTAAGGCACCCATTCCAGTGGCCAGTGTGGCCGCTCTGGGCTGTCTCCTTAGAGCCCCAGCAAGCCCATGGCAGCCGCTGGGTGAGGAATCCGGGGCACAGGGTTTGAAGCTAGTGTGTTTGGAACCAGAACCTGCACCCAGGTGTTCTGGTCTCAGCCCCTCCCTTCAGGATCTGAGACGGGGGGGCCCTCGTGGCCACCTGCAGAGGCTGTACCCCTCTGCCCCCTGATGCGGCTGCCCTTCTAGAAAACCTCATTAAGCAGAGAAGCTTCCTCCCCTCTGGAGGTTTTCAAACTTGAGTGCCTGATAAACACAGATTGCTGGGCCCTTCCCCAGAGTTTCTGATTTTGTAGGTCTGGCACAAGGCTGAGAATTTGCATCTGATCACCCAGCCGGCGCTTGGGCCAGGGACGACTGTTCTGTCGTCTGGGGGTACACCTGCTTGCTTGCCCCAACCCCAGCCCAGCCCAGGGAGCTGAGCCATCCGTCCCCTGTTGTTCACAGAGCTCGTCACCGGGGTGGGGGAGAACTCTGTCCCAACTCCGGGACGTCCCTGGTCCCTGTCCCTTGGGAGCTCTCATGTCACCCTCTGAGGCCGGGGGATGGAGGAGGAGTGGAGTGGAGTGGGGAACGGGGAGGGGGCAGGGCTGTAAGCAGGTCAACGTTGTGGTTTTAATTTTTTTATTGTCGTTATCTTCGGGAGGACATCAGGAGGGAAGCGAGGGGCCTGGCAGATGTTTTCCCGGCTTTTCTCTTTTGCCAAGAAGAGATTTAAGAAATCAAGAAGTTAAAGCTACGGAGCTATGGAAGGAGAAAAAAAAATCATCTTACAGAAAAAGTTTACAGATCATTTTTAGCAGCCCTTTGCTCTAGAGCCGGTTTTCTATCATGTAGGAATATAAAGCATATCCTAATCTTGGCACTTAGTAATGGTGCCTTTTGGACAAAACACTTACACGCGGATCTTACTGAATTGAAACGGAGAGTTTATTAGGGTGAGAGTTAGAGAATCTGCTTGTATGTCTTTTTTTCTTCCGTGTGAAGCTATAAACTGCCCAATCTAGACTACCTCTGCCGTCTGGTACCTCTCAGTCCTTACTCAACTTGTAAGAACGGAGAGCAAGCCGGAAAATGGAACAAGCCGCTGACGTTGAAAAACAAAACAAAGGGGAACAAAGAGGGCCATTCTCTTTTCTGGAACCCGGAGCTCATGGAGCAGCGCAGATGCGAAAAGCCTCAAAGTTGCCCCACCGCTGGTGGCCAGGAGTGTTACCTAATGGGCCTTCCCTCTGGGAAGCTTCTGCCCCCTCTGCTGGCATTTTATCTTCCTTCCAGACCTGGGGGAGCTGAGGCGGCCCCAGGAGGATTAGCACATACTCCGCCCTCCAGCCGGTTCTGCTCGTTGGTTTGGCCAGCCAGTTTCCACAAGAGAGTTTTCCCCCTGACACTGGCACGCGGGCTCAGAGCAGGCTTGCGGGGGCGAGCTCGGGGTCCCCAGGCTGCGTCCCCGGGTCCAGCGGGAACCCTGAGTCCGGGCTGTTTGAGCCAGACCCTATTTGTGCTTCTTGTTTGAAAGCCAAGGACAGTTCAGTGCCATCGCCCTTCCCTCTGTGCCTTTGGAAAGAAAGCTGTTCCTGCAGGGTCCACTCAGCCCCGGGCCCTCGAGGCCCAGCCGAGAGAGGGAACCTGTCCGTCCACCTGGCTGGACGGCCGCAGCAGGGGCGGGTGTGCGAGCCCTCAGAGCGGGCCCCGATTTCCCCCTGTCACTTGGCCAGGCTCTTCGGAGGCAGGATCGTCCGTCTGTGTCATTTCAAAGAACTATTGTTCTGCCCGGGCCCGGGACACCCGGGGAGCTGTTGCTGGGTCCCACGACAAAGCCTTCCTCTGGTGAGGCGTTTAGAGATCCGACTGTAGGAACAAGAAGTCAGGTAGCAACAGAGGAATTTTTCAGTGAAATATTCTATTCCTCAGTCTAAAAAAAAAGAATTGATCCTCCAAGATGTTCAAAGATTTAAGAGAATCTGCAAGGAAGCGAAACAGGTTGTCCTGTTTGTTTCCCCATCTGGGAGCCCGGGGCCTGGTTAAGGCCAGATTGGGCCTCCCCACTCCTGGCAGATGGAGGGACGTGAGGGCTGGCTGGGGGG